AGGCTCGTGAATTTGATGGTGTCCGGGTGCTGCCGATACTTCTTGTCACTCAGGATCTCGCTCGCCCTCTTGTTCTTCTCGGCGTCCAGAGACCCAATTGGGGACCAGCCAATGCCCTTCAGCCACTGCAGGTCCGACTTGTACACGTTCTGCAAGGACAGGCAAGGACACAAAGCAGCTCAGCACCCTCCTCACTCATTCGAGTTCTCTTACTCCCAAAGGGAAGCTCTGCTGAACAGAACACATTCCCCTGGGCCAGCTCACCAACACCCACTGAGTGGTTATACCCATCTCCTAAGGCTCTTCATTCCATTCACCACTTGCGCTTGCCTTGGTCAACTCTTGGTCCTCCCAAAGCTAATATTTGACTCTGCTGCCCTTGCCCTGACACACAGACCCCTCCTCCACCAGTGCAACAGAACACAGGAGACACTTCTGCTGTCCCTCAGCTACCAAAGCAGCACTCACATCACTCTGCAGGTCGTACACGGTCTTGGCATGGACGACGTCGTTCTGGTCGGGCAGGCAGGTCCAGCGGTGCAGGGGGTGCCGGTAATCGGCGTCGCTCACCAGCTCCTGGCACTTCTTGGCCAGCACCACCCCCAGCATGTCCACAGGGCTGCTGAAGTGTGTCTTGGACTTCTCAAAGTCCTTCTTGTACTCCCTGTCACTCTGGATCTTGGCCACGTGCATCGACCACATCATCTTGGGGTCGTCTTCGATGTTGCGGGCCCCGATGTGGTGGCCCAGCTGCTTCCGATACCCCTCCTTGTACTTGTACTGCAGGAAAAGGGGCTCAGTGAGTTTCAGGACAGTTGCTCTCCCTTCTGATATTACCCTCTAGCAGCTCCTGTGAGCCAGTGCTTTGCTCGTGGAGCCTGGTAACATCACCATGTGAACAGGCAGGATATCCCTACTGTGTCCTGCCCTTCCCTGCCGTCCCACACCTGTGCAGGCCCACAGTGGGCAGAGAGAGGCCTCCACATTGCTAAGAAGCCCTCTAGGTGTGCTAATTTGCAGGCCTTCAGCCACTCAGCTGGGAAGGGACAAGGGGCAGCCCGACACTTTGTCAACAAAGGTTATGTTTAAGTCTTATGGGTGAGAACAAGAGACGAAGTGATTGGTGTGGTACAGA